ATCTAAATAACAGGGTAAGATAGAAATATTAATTTATATACCAAATTACGCATAATTTATCTGAGAATAAGATCCTGAAGTCAGAACCAAGATAGAATTTGCAGTTTTGAAATAATCTAACAAAAACCTGTCCTAGTTATGCCTGTCCATAGCTGTATATTTTATAAATTGTCATGTATATTTCCTAATAGAAAATTCATATATGATACGAGTCATTAGATCTAGAATTAATCCTTAATCCCAATACTACTTATAAAAATTCAATGTTTATATCACTTCCTATTTAATAGGAGTTCTTAACTATTAATTCTCATACAAAATATCAATACATGAAAACATTTTCTATTCATTTGATGTCCAAAAGATTGAACATATAATAATAACACTTCTTGCAATTATAAAACTTCAAACTTCATTTATAACTTACAATATAAAAATATTTAAACAAATTAAATTTGTCTTAAACATCCGCTGATTTATCATTGTCCAGTGCATAGTAAGCCTTTTATTTAAGAAAAGTTATTTTCATCAGAAAAATACATTTTATACAATCTTTTTGATTCAATTTTTATTAAATAATCCGTGTTTAATTGCCCTAGGTACTATTTGGCGATATTACAATTTTTCTATTAAACCATGTACCTAAAAACATAATGACCTAGATGCTTTAATTCTTGACAGTACTAAATATCTCGATGTGAAGCAAACCAAACACTAGTCGACAGTATTGTTTGGGATATACGAGAGACTCTCCGCCGTGTTTGGAGAATGCATTGCAATGCCATTGTCTGTTAGCCGTGTCATCCGTATTATCATTGAATACATTGCATATATGCGCCGATATATCCGAAAAGCTGTTGCACCTCCTGATGGCCTCTTTGGACCTTTCGATACATAACTCCACTTCAATCGACGATAGATACGTTGGTGATTTCACTCTGCAATTATCCAGGTCTTTACGAGCCAACTCTATCACACCCTTCATACTCTAAAAGTACATTTATAAACAAATTAACGTCTAATATAGTATGAGTATACAATTTCCATCATGTTTTTACATTATTTCAATTGAGAAAGTAGTATATAATTTATGTATAATATATAAGGTTATTAATTTTAAAGGTATAAATATATGTAAGAACCAAAGTCTCACCACTTTTTGGCTCTGCAATTGGATTCTCTTGATTTCATCGCAAAGACTTTTATTAAGAATCAATAGATTCTCAATACAATTGTGTTGAGTATTGCCATCAATAGGCAGTTCACAGGTCGCACACTTTCGGTTTGCATTAAAATTACAATTTTCTATATGTTGTGACAATTCACACATTTTCACCACTGATTTACAGCCATTGGCATAGAAATCGCACTTTACTTTCATATTATTCAGTAAATTAATGACAAATCTGGGCGCCGGACCCACACCTTCACGACTCAATCTCTTGCGATCATTAGGACAGGTATTGTGGTCTGAGAGCCAACCATAGATACAATCACTGCAATAGGTTTGTTGACAGCATTGGGTGACCACAGGATTGACAAACACTTGCAGACATATACCACACGTGTATTCATTCAATTCCTCGACAGATACACCGACCACTCGACTCTTGTCTAAACCAAACATTAGTTCACAAATTTTGTTAAATTTATTATTTACTACTTTTTGAGTTTTATTACTAACTGCGTTATTTTTTAAGCAATTTATTTAAACATAAGGCGTTACTAGTAGTAGATAGTCACATATTTCGAGACTATGTCATCATTTAATGTGCAATAATATGATACATTTAATGTTGTTATCATTATCGTATATGATAATACAGATATCATAACAGTATATTATTATGTATAAATATATATATTTCAGTATTATTTGTTAGTCATGCATACTCAATTCATATTTACCTTTTGTATCCGATAAAATATTATCTGTTTTAAAAGTTATCATTAGTTAAATGTAATTATATTAGTTCAGTAGTTAATAAACTGGATTAAATATAAACATTTTTATTTAATAATATTGTGATCTATCGTTTGGAATCACTTTCAACTATAGTTGGTGTTCAAAGTAATCGATTTATAGAATTCAGTTTTATTAAGTGCTAATCATATTAAAAAATTTCAATTTCAACAATTTCAATACAGTATTTCATTTTATTTAATTCCTATAAAATACATCTCATTATTAGCAATAAACAATTGGCAATCATTTATATTTTATTAATAATTAAGTAGTTTATATGAGGGTAAATCATTTTAATTAGATTTATTGGTTTAATATTTTGTGAAAATTATTTGGCATTAAATATCTCGATGTGAAGTACGCCACCAAACAATAGCTGACAATATTGTTTGTTTGAAACCCGAGACTCACCGCCAGTGCCCGCGAATGCTATGCAGTGC